TGGGGGGTGTGTGGGTGTGAGGAGGGAAGGTGAGGGTTAGGGTTGTGAGGGTGGGGGTTTGGGAGAGGAGGGTTTTGAGGTGGGTGAGTGAGGTAGGTGAGGGGAGGTCTTTGAAGTTTAGACGGAGGGTGTGGAGGTTGTTGAGGTGAGGGGAGATTGAGTTGAGAGTGGTTGATGTGAGGATTTCTAATGGCAGACAATGGTGTTCGAAATGGGTAATCGAGAGCCCTGCTTCGGATGTTGTTTCGAGGAGGTCTTGAATTTGACAGCCTTTTGAGGGGTCTATAGATACGAGGTCGTTTGCGTGTCTTTCCCATAGATCCCTTAGAATCTCATTTTGGAATGGATTCTTGTATACTATCTTGATGCTATTGACGAGTGGCACTGCTTTTAAAGCTGTTCTAAGTAACAATCGTTTCTCGTCAAACCATTTGGCCTTGAATTCCGCTTGTTCGGCTACAGTTGCGTACAGCTCCTCATAAGCTCCCTATCCCTCGACTGTGGTTACATGTCGATTATATCCTCTTAATTCGAGAAATCTCGATGTCGTGTACCGATGACCAATTTCATCGTGTAGTTTGTCCGGAAGCCAGTCCGTGATTTGGAAGGTGATTTCTTTTGTGGATTTAGTGAATTGGTGGGAGAAGTTTGGACTTTGGCTGATTTCAATGAGTCGGAGAATATCTTTTGTGAATGAGCGAACGTGGTAAGTAGCAGGAAAGAGAAATTCTGTTCCCACTATTGACCAGGACTTGGAAACCAAACGGAGGGCTTTTACGATTGATAGGTTAAGATAGTCGAAAATCATTCGCTTGATTTCGTAAGGGAGGCTGTCGGTGGCCATTTTGACGTATGATGTTTTTGAACAGTCTTTTCTTCTCGCCTTCCTTGTGTAGAGTAACTTGAGATTCGTAACCAAAAGATGAATATATGAATGTTTTATGAGTCTGGTCCAACAAATGCTGATGTAATATACTCCTTTGGGTTCACTAGATCCTTGAGATCTCGTGTGCGTGGGAACACAAGACTTTTTATCAGAACCTAACTCGTTCCCGCGTATTAAAATTTGCCTTTTGCTCTTTTAACAGGTTTTCTTCTCTGTATAAACACGTTTCCTATCATTACTTGAGTCAGATCCTTGCATGTTGACTGTTTACAAGTGGGATGCCGTCGAAACCGGGCCTATTGAGAAATGGATGAAAGCGACAAGGACCAAAAGTGTCCCGTTGTAATAATGTACATTAGCTACCAGCGATCACTAACCAAAAGCTGGGTAATTGCAAGTATATCTCTCGCCATTGCCTAGAAGCATCTTGTAGTAGGGCAAACTGAACAGTTACGTCAGGTGAAACAGGCGAGCGGATCAAGCCTTACAACACCTAAGTCTTAATTTCAGGGCCAGCAGCAATGCATGACATCAGACGAAGAAGGCGGGACTCTGATCCTTTCAAAGTTACTGTATCGAGGTTCGGATTCGGGATGCAGGATTTAGTGAATTCATTTAAGTCATGGTCCCAAAGCGTCGGTAAATAATTGTTTCTTCCCTTATGATATTTGGGTATGAAACTCACCTATTGGGAGGAATATTGCGCAAACTTTTTCCAAATAACCACTGCTCAGAAACAATTTACTGTCCTAGATAGTTAGGATAATAAGTTTCTGACGTCAAGTGTAGGCCAAGCGCCAGCAACCGACCGACTCAGATGGGTCCCAATACACTGACGCCCCGGCGTCAGTTTAGAGCTGACTAAGCGCGGGTTTTCACGCCCCCCCACCACCGAAAT